ACTCGGCTCCTGTGGTTATTACATCTGATTTTTGTCAGAGAGATGGGCCACAAAACTGTTCAGGGCAGGCCATTCAAGAAATGGACGGTTTGTTGGCACTGCTGCTATATGACCTTAGCAGAGAGATTGAGCTATTACACTTTTAATGACCACTGCAGGAAATGTTCCCTTAATCCTGTCTGATTGCTAAAGTTATAAATTTCCACGTCCAACGGGTTTAAAGTTAATGACCATTATGGACATACCTGATGATTAACTTCATAATCACATCCTGCTGCTGTTTCCTTTTCTGTCCAGTCTGTCAGGGCACCACGGTGGATGTAACTGTAAGGTACAATAGCATTTGTACACGATCTAAACAATGAAATGGGCAGAAACAATACATACATACATACACACACATACAGCAAACTTTATAATCAATTATATTGTGATGTGATAAACTTTGTAATATCTTAAATATGTGTACATAATGCAAACTATTGTTTAAAGGTTTGTGGTCAGCAATATTTTTTTTTTATGATTTTGAGTCTCACCAAGTCAGCATTTATTTGATCAAAAATACAGTAAAAACAGCAATACTGTAAAATATTATTACAATTTAAAATAACTTTTCTATTTTTAAATATAAAAAAAAAAAAAAAGTAATTTAGTCCTATGAAGACAAAGCTGAATTTTCAGCAGCCATTACTCCAGTCTTCAGTGTCAAATACTCCTTCAGAAATCATTCTAATATGCAGATTTGCTGCTCAAGAAACACTTCTAAAATACATTTCTCCCTGGGCAGCCCCTGGAACCACAAAAATAATGCGCAGCACCATCAGCAGTACTGCTTGAAAGTTTGTGAACCCTTCAGAATTTTCTATATTTCTGAACCAAAAGATCATCAGATTTTCACACAAGTCCTGAAAGTTGACAAAGAGAATCCAATCAAACAAATGAGACAAAAATACAGTATATACTTTGTCATTTATTTATTGAGGAAAATGATCCAGTGTCTGACATATCTGTCAGTGGCAAAAGTATGTGACTCTTTGCTTTCAGTATCTGGTGGGACCCCCTTTTGCAGCAATAATGGCAGGTACATGTTTCTTGTAACTGCTGATCAGTCCAGCACAACGGCTTGTAGGAATTTTAGCCCATTCCTCAGTGGGGAACCACCTCAACTCTGCAATGTTGTTGTGTTTCCTCCTATGAACTGCTTGCTTCAGCTCTTTCCACAACATTTCAATTGGATTAAGGTCTGGATTTTGACTCGGCCATTCCAAAACATTAACATTGTTCTTCTTTTTACAATTCTTTTGTAGAAATACTTGTTGTAATACAATGACCCCAAGCACACATGACCCATTTTTTCTCAAGATACAGTTCTTGGACAGATGTCCTAATATTTTCTTTTATAATTTGCTGGTATAATTCAGAATTCATTGTTCCATCAACAATGGCAAGCCGTCCTGGCCCAGATACAGCAAAACGGCCCAAACCATGATACTACCACCACCATGTTTCGCAGATGGGATATAGTCCTTATGCTGGAATGCAGTGCTTTCCTTTCTCTAAACATAACGCTTCTCATTTAAACCAAAAAGTTTTATTTTGGCCTTATGTCCACAAAACATTTCTTCAATATACCTCTGGCTTGTCCACATGATCTTTAGCAAACTGCAGACGGGCAGCAATGTTCTTTTTGGAGAGCAGTGGTTTTCTACTTGCAACTCTGCCATTCACACCATGGTTGTTCAGTGTTCTCCTGATGGTGGATTAATGAACATTAACATTAGCCAATGTGAGAAAGGCCTTCAGTTATTTCAAAGTTACCCCAGGGTCCGTTGCGACCTTGTGGACTATCGCATGCTCGCATGAGGGTAACAATGGTCTTGAATTTCCTCCATTTATACACAATCTGTGGATTTGTTCAAACTCTTCAGAGATGGTTTAGTAACCTTTTCCAGCCTGATGAGCAACAACAACTCTTTTCCTGAGGTCCTCAAAGATCTCCTTTGTTCGTGCCATGAATAACTTCCACAAACATGATCAGACTTTGATAGATCCCTGTTCTTTAAATAAAACAGGGCACACACTGACACCTAATAGTCATACCACTGATTGAAAACAGCTCTGAACAGATGGACTCTAATTTCACCTTCAAATTAACAGCTAATCCTAGAGATTCACATACTTTTGCTGCTCACAGATATGTAATATTGGATCATTTTCCAGAATAAATAAATTACAAATTATATATTTTTGTCTCATTTGTTGACTGGGTTCTCTTTGTCAACTTTCAGGACTTGTGTGAAAAACTGCTAATCTTTTGGGTCATATTTATGCAGAAATACAGAAAATTCTGAAGGGTTCACAAACTTCCAAGCAGCACTGTGTATTAGAATTATTTCTGAAGTATCATGTGACACTGAAGACTGGAGTAATTGCTGAAAATCCAGCTTTGCCATCACAGGTATAAATTACATTTTAAAATATATTAAAATAGAAAACAATTTAAGATTTAACGTTTCACAATATTACTTTATCAAATAAATGCAGACCCAGTAAACATTTTCAAAAACATTTACTGACCCCAAAATTTTACTATGAGTGGATTGTTTCTGCTGTAATGTTCAGACTATACAAACGTAACACTCAACACAAAAGGGGAAGTGATGAGACTATCATGTTTGAGCCTTTATAACGCAATAAATTTACCTCAGCCGCCACCTGCAGATGCTGCAAGAAACTCATGAGCATCACATAGACATACCACACTGCCCTCTCAGTGTCTAATCAGACGGATGAAACTAATCTTCTCACACCGACTTCTCCTCCAGTTCAGTAGGAGTCTCCTCAAGAGCTGCAGGAAAGATTCCTGAGCACGCTCGTCACACAGGAGGAGAGAGACGGCAGCGGAGGATGAGTGAGGTTACCGTTTCATCTGGCTCAGTAAGCCCGGACTAATTTGAGGCCTGAGTGGAGAGGGCACTTGTGTGCAGGCCTGATGAAAGCTCTTCAGAGGAGAGAAAAGACTGGAGGATTGTATCAAATCACTGGTCGCTCTCATAGAGAAGCCCTTCTCTATCTCTCTCGCTCTCTCGACAGAGCCTCTTCTCTTTCTTTCTTTCTTTCTCTCTCCCTCTTCAGCGGTGCCACTCAACAGGATAGCCCTTTAATCTCCACCTATTCAGCTGCTCCCTTATTAAGAGTGAAACTAGGAAGAAACAAAAAGAAAAAGAGAAAATAAAAACACACCTTGTCTATGTACAGCTTTTTCACATCAGAGCAAAAGAAATGAAAGAGATGAGAGTGAGCCAGAGCAAGAGCAGAACGAGAGCCTGCAGGAAAATCAGTATGTTGGGATTTGGAGTGCATCTCTCCCTCTCCTTCATCCTCTCAGCACTCTTTCTGAGGAGAACGTCAAACTAAGGGCTGCCAGCTAAGGTAAGCTTCAGAGAGACTGAAGGAGAAAACAAAGCAACCAAAGGAGAGAAGAAAAGAACTGGCTTCACAAATGCTAAAAGGCACCCCGTCAGTGGAGTTTAAACAGAATTCACAGGAACTGAATTAGCTTTGGGTTTGAGATTCTAAAAGGGCTTCTGGTCAGGGAGGATAATGCAGACACCTGACTCACTGAGTAGGGAGAAAGAGTGGGTCAGTTCGTCATCATCTGACGGAGACAATCGAAATCTGCGGAGATTAGTGAAAATCAGTATCTCTCATTTGATCTATTTACTTGATCAATCTGCTGCTGACACTCCTTTGCTAACAGCAAGACCAAGTTCATCATCTAGTCTGGTGTATTTAGACAGGAACGCCCACATTAGCAGTACAGACTGTACTCATGCCGATGTGAAATCAAGCCTCCTGTGAGAGACCAACAGGTGTAAGAAAGGAGCAACAGAGTCCTCAGCACTTCTTAAGACACTCGTGACGAAAGTGGCATCATGTAGACTTAAGTTTCTTTTTTGATGGCGGGACAATAAAGGCCTGTTCATACCAAAGGACGATGCCTATAATTTTAGTATCATTCTAATGCACTAACCACATAAACCCCACATGGAAACTGACCATAGGAAGCACTACACACTTCCAACAGAAATAGAACAATGATTTTTTGCACTTGAAAGTTAATTTAATATATATTCTGCCTAATTTTGGATATTGTTCCAGCTGGCAATAGGCACGTGCCGTTTGACATAACCAGTGTAGACAATGCATTAAATAAGTCCACAGATTTCATCTGGGCTTTTTAGTCTCCAGTCCTTTTCTCAAAATCAAAATAAGCATCAAGTTGAAAACATTCCCTCTTTCCTTTTACGGCGCAAGGAAGATTCAAGGCCAAAAGTAATTTTAAAAAAAAAATTTTTTTTTTTAATCAGTTAATCCTGTAAGGTTTTCGATTAAAAAAAAAAAAAAAAAACACCCCTCAGTGCCAAGTAGAAATGGTTCCTATAGATTTGAGTATACACATGACGTTGCCATGCAATGTTTTAAATAACATGTTTACTAAAGGGCTATTGTGGGCAAACTTCAACAGCAAAGTTCACTGGCAGAGGAAGTGTGAAGTTTCATTTCTCTAAATTACAGTCATTTTACTTCTAGAGCATCAGATTGCAGGAGGTGAGACAGACATTTACTGAAATCACACTCTTAATGAAACCAACTCAAACCAACAAAATAAATCAATTGGCACAAACACACTTCCTGGCCGATAATCCACTTGAGGTGAGAAAATCAAAAGGGTGTGTTGTGTGTGTCACCAGCTGTGGTTGGGGGACCGCAGGGCATATTTGAGTCAGCTGGATCTGTGGTTACAACAGATAGCCGAGGCAGCAGAGACTATGTCTCTTTTACACACTTACACACACACTCAACTTCATGTCTCAACTCTTCAGTCAGCCTTTCAGCAGCTTGACATCATGTGGGAACATCTAGATAACATATCCAGCATTCCCAGCCTCTGTCATTGTTCTCCATACTTAAGACATATGGGGTTAACGTGACACCCAGCCTGTGATTCAAATCCCACAGTGGTGCTCTCAATTAAACCAACATTCATGACACGTTTTACAAAAAAAAAAAAGTTTATTGAATTATTAACAACTGTACATGATAAGTGCTGACACAGTTTGCTACATACTTTGGTGTGAAGTTGAGAGGTTGTGAAAGGCAGGCGGGCCAAGGTTTTGTACTGTACTAAAGTCGGAGTTTGCCGTGACCGGTTCTGCTGTGGCCCCATGAAGGTCACTCCAGGTCCCACAGTTAAAAGAGTCCACATTTACACAAAAATGGTTAGCCAGGATCAGGTTTAAAAGAGCCACTCTCTTTTCTCTCTCTCTCTCTCGCTCTCATGCGCACACACTTTCACACCCGAGCTTCCACCAAAGTCAGTGCAGGCAATGAATATATTCATTAGAAAACTGGCTCAACTTGTACAGAAATGAATCCCCAATTGACTCCGAACACTCACGAAGAAGAAGGTTAACATCAATCTGTGAGTGAAAACAAGGCTGCAGGCTCATTAGGGTGGAGCTCTACAGCAAAAGGAAAGCTGTAAATCACTGGGGTGAGTCATATCCCATTTCAACAACAGCGAACTATAGTGGGGCCGCTTATGGGATCAGTTGGCAAGTTACTCATCAATGTACGATCCACGCCGAGTCAGCATGTTACAATCACACTTCATTATCTGAATTCCTCTTTCCAACAAGACGCCACACAATGCAAAGGGCACAGAAAAGTAGTACGGTAAGTCATTCTCCAAGTTTAAGATCGCTGTCAATTTACAAACATCTCCTCACTCTCCTCTGGGCTGTTTCCGTCGTATTCTGACTTCCGCAGGATTCCAGTCTGATCCCAATTCTATGAACAGCACATAGGCTCAAAAAGCAAAAAAGAATTACCAAGAACAGGAAGGGGTTTTCCACATGAGCCTTTTAGCAAATGGCCAGCCCAGAGAGTGTGCTTACAAAAATCTAAATGAAAAAGTGTGTCCTAATCTACATTCATCAAGCATTAAGGACATGAGGACAAAGAAACCCATCACAAGTATATCAGGACATGGAAATATATATAATTATATATTTATAAAATGTCTTTATTACTCCATATATACACTTTTTAACAAATTGTCCAGGGAGCGGGAGGCTAAAACTGAAGCACTGCTTCATATTACATCACAGATTGTTCACTTTTTGTAAAAAGGAAGGTACGAAGGCAGGGGGGAAATACTACGGTAGAAATAGGCACACACAATCCCATGAGCAGACCGAAAGCAAAGGCAAGACAATATTTACTACATTAGTGCGGTCGGGAAGTCCTTGGGACAGTTTAACACGTTTCCGCTCGGATCTGTAGAGGACTGCTCCACTGCTGTAAGAATCCAGGTGCGCTAAAAATAAAAACATCTGGGAACCGATCCCAATGGACCGACCAGTTCCTAACCTGGGTTCCCACTATAAAAGGAGGAAAAAGTAGAGGAGTGATCCCTTGAATCCATTAAATATCAGGCCCAATGAGAAACTCCATACATGGGTCTTTACATCTGGCGAAGCAGTGAATTTAGTAGATCACTTCATACACAGTGGCCTTCTTGTCTCCAGATCCTGTCACAATGTACTTATCATCAGCTGAAATGTCACAGCTCAGGACAGAGGACGACTCCTTGGACTGTGGAGGGAGGAAAGCAGGAAAACAATTAGCTGACATGATCAAACAGACTCTGTGAGATCATAAACCACAGAGAAGCATGTCAACACCACTCCCTTCTAAATATTAATTGAAGCATTTAAGCCACTCTGCGAGGCAAGTAGGTGTGTAGACAATTGGCAATGTATGTGAGCAGTGCAGAGCTGTGTGATTTTTGCCTGAAGCAGGGAGACTTAAGTCGCTCAAACAATTTAATGGCCATCGTCTAATTGAATGTCAGCAAGAATTCCCCTTGTGTTAAACAGTATTAATAGATTATCATAACAGATTATCATGTTAGCAGTCAACTTGAAAGAAAGAGGAAATTTAAAAATAATAATAATAATAATAATAATAATAATAATAATAATAATAATAATAATAATAATAATAATAATAATAATAATAATAATAATAATAATAATAATATATCTAAATGACTTGATTCACTGCAGCTCGACTTATTTGGAAGTAGAGTGGGCCATTAAGAGAAAAAGTGAGAGAGTACTGGGGGTGGTACAAAGTGCAACTTGGCCACGCTAAAATGGAAAAACACCACTGAATACTAAAGTAAGGCTGAAGTACTCTGTGCAATTGTTTTCCCATGTCATGTCTCAGATATATTTTACAGCAAGTCTAATGTTTCCCCCCCCCCCATTTATTCTCAGGTGCAAGATGCACTACATATAAGGTGAAGTAACAGTGTCTTACCACAGTAGGCAAATTTGAGGGAGAGGACACAGCTCTCATGCAGGTGCAGCTGGTACTTGTCAGGCTTAGTGTGATGAAGCACTTCCACATTACTGCTCTCCATTCCCACAGCCAGCCACTCGCCTGTCGGACAGTAGCCCAGAGAGAAGATCTAGATGAGAGCACAAAAGCACAAAGCCCATCACAAACTGATCTAAAAGTGCATAGACAAGTTATGCATAAACACTGATTTGGACTTTTAATACATAATCAGAAATGGAATAGTACAGAAGTCATTAAAATAAGTCAAGAAAATGTTTAAATGTAGTGTTACAATGCAATGTATACACATACATATTCATAAATACACTAGAGTTAATTTTCTTCCCCTCAAAATTAACACTTTTATTCAGCAAGGTTCAGCATGACTGTTTTCTACATTAATATGTTTCATAAGAACCAAATCAGCATATTAAAATGATTTTTGAAGGATCATGTGACACTGAAGACTGGAGTAATGGCTGCTGAAAATTCAGCCGTCATCACAGGAATAAATTACATTTTAAAATAAATCAATTAAAAACGCTTATTTTAAATTGCAATAATATTTCACAATGATATTATATATTACACAATGTTTATATATGATTTTTGGGTGTGTAACATTTACCTGTGAAGTAAAGTCATGCTGCTGGAGTTGTCGTCCCTCTCTCAGGTCCCAGGACCGTACTGTGTTGTCCAGTCCACCTGTCCACAGTTTGGTGCCATCATGGGAAATGTCTATACAACTTGCACCATCTGTGTGGCCCTGGAACTGCCTACATACATAGACAAGACATATACACATCGTCGTTTAATGCATCAGAACGGCGTATACATCTCTATCCTCAAAGAAACACTATTTCATGCAGCATCACCTGGCATGCTTCCTACCTGACAAGGGTTTGGTTATGAAGGTCCCAGACAGCAATATTTCCATCACTGCAGCAGGAGAAGCAGACCTTGGCATCAGGGCTGATCGCCAGCGCATAGCAGGCCGGGGCAGAAGAGGTGAGCTCGGCTTTGATACGGGGAGTCTGAGAGGCCAAATCCCATATGGTCAGAGTGCTGGCTTCCCCTCCAACGATCAAAGTGCGGCCATCCGGAAGCAGCTTACAGGAACGGATATAGTTATCCCTGTTCTGAAGAGAGAGAGAGAAGCGGGGAATACATGTTGAGAGACAGACCATTTTAATAGAGATAAAACAATTTTACAAGAATATGTACAAATGTCCCTCTCCAGCCCCTCAATAATCAGGCTGAAGTGGTGAACCAATCTAAATGGTAGGGCTGAAAAGCAGCTGTTCAGCTCCCTGTTATTTGCTCTGGCTCTCTAAATCCTGTCTAACCTGTGTTTATGAAGGTTAATCGAGGAGGGGAGGCGGCCGATAAGAGGGAACAGAATGGTAAGTGGGTAGGGAAAAGCTTTTAAGGGTTTTTAGTTGCAGCACCAGGATGAAGCGCATTTTCAAATTAGCAGGAGAATTCTAGACCTGCTCCTGAGGGAGATCAATAAGTCCAGGCTTTCAGACAAATTAAATCACTTTATAATGGCCGAACAGCTCATCAAATACACCGCTTTCTGCACTATGGAGCAAGCACAGGGACATGCACACACAAAAAAGCAAGTTACACAGACTGAGGGGGATAATGGAGAGCCATCATGGTATTTTCCCCTAGAATAACTACACATAGTCTGAAGATTGGTTCTTTATTTAGCAGGGGGATTAAAGGGAGGATAAAGATTAAAAATAGTTAAAAAAATTAAAAAGAGTGGAAATTGTACTTCAGAAAAAATAATTCCGGTAATTTGTGTGGACTGATTAAACAACATGAATTTTTACCAGACAGTCAAGTTGTGAGACGGGGCTCTTGCTGCCGGGCTGACTGATATCCCAGATCTTCACGCAGCCTTTGCCGCCAGTATAGACGTGCCGCGTGGGGTTGCTGATGGTTACGGCACACACCACCTCACCGTGGCTGAGTGTGTTGATCTGACGGGCATGACGGGGAATGCCTGGTCCAATCAGAGCATCTGGAGGAAAAGGTACTGGTTGCATCTGCCCATCTGCGCTAACGTGGAAGGAGTAGGCCCTATTTATTAGAACATAAAAGAATGAGATAAAAAAATTGGAATGATCAATAATCAGTAAGAAATTCTCAACCATGTCACATGATCCTTCAGATATCATTCTATGTTGATTCGGTGCCCGAGAAACACTACTTATTAACAATGTTGAAAACATAAATGTCACTTTTGATCAATTTAATGCATCCTTGCCGAATTAATGCATTCATTTCTTTCAAAAAAAAAAAAAAAAAAGGTTTACTGAATGAACGGACAACACACAGACATCTTAGTATCTTAGCATTAAAGAGTAAGCTGCAAAACAAACCGAAACTGATTTTAAAGTCTGATTTTTCCCTGTATCAGCTTAATTGTCATATTGTAATATATTGTTAATATTCTAGTTTAGCTCTTGTTCGCGCTTTATCTCTCCCCTCAAGCCATTATTAAAGACCCCCCAGAGAAGTGTTACTTCCCATGCCATTAGCACAAACACAGAGATGCAGAACAAACGCAGTACAAACGCAAAAGGTAATATTTAACCGGAATACTATCCTAAAAGGGTATGCATGTAAAGTTAGCCTCCGAGTTATGGAAGAGAGCCGCTAAAGGCCATTCTAGATGATTAGAGGAACAGGAAGTGTACGTGTAAGACAGAGACAGAAAGAAAACTGGAACAGGACAACAAGCTTCTGCAAACCTTTAGGAATGTATATGTAATCAAAAAATATAAAGGCAGGGAGTCTAACCATAGGTGAGCGTCCATAGGCAACAGCGGCACTCATCTGAGGGGAGATGTGAAGGCCAGGGTAAACACCCGGACTGGTCAATGAGCCGTTCATCTCTGGGTGGTGACCCATCATGGCGAACGGAGCCCCATATGGCGACGCAATCGACAATGGTGTACGTAGAGCAGGTGCTGCTGGGAATATATGAAGAAAAGCCAAAGTTGAAAAGCTATGAATGCACGCATACACTTACAGGTTTGACTGGTTAGTACAGCCCCATCATTTTTTCTTTGGCTCCAGATTAGCCACATAGCATCACCAGCTCAGGTGGCTGGTTTCAAAAAGTTGTCCAATGCTCAAAAATATGGTCAAAAAGTTTCAATGAATGTGAATGCTTAATGAATGGATAGGTTTAAAAGTGCACATTTACTACTTACTCAGCGCTTCCATGCCTAGTGGTTTTCCGGGTATGGGCCTGAGCCCAGGGGTGTTGCTGGTTCCTGGGGTGGGAGCGTCGTTTCGTGGGGTGGGGGTGTTGGACTTTAAAACTGGGGTGGAGGACTTGTCGTTCTGAAAGATGAAGGAACAGAGATGGAATTAACTGAGCTAAAGCTACATACCACAAATGCTCAAATCCAGAGAGCTCTCTCGCACTAATCCAGTCAAACACTGACAGCTCATTATAGCGGAGGAGGATAAAGCTAAACTTCAGACCGAACCCTTCCCCGAGACCTCATCCTCTCACTCATCTTTAATCACTCTATCTTCTCTCCTCTTCCCCTCTGAGGCTAGCTAAGCGCATTGAGATATTAGCCAAGGCTAGCGGCTAAGCCGCTGTTTGTCTGACAGTAGCTGATGTATTCATGTTACGCTTCAATCTGACATTTACGCTGCAGCTATAAAGCTGAGGAGAGGAAGAGGGTTTTGCAAATGTGCAGAGGCTTGACACCATAAATGCCCATCCTCTATTCCTTAACACTTACATGTGGGTGGTCCTTCACTTTTGAGGAGGGGGTGCTCCCAGAGGAGGCCACTGAAGCCGGGCTGTTGGGGGCATCTTTCTTCAGTGCTCTGGCCTTATCAAGTCCATTCTCAGGAGGAGAGTGAGACGGGCTGACTCTTGGAGTGGCTGGATCCTACAGTGGGAAACAGAAACGTCACATACGAAAGAGTAGCAGTTCTCCAACCAAAAATGGGAAGCAGATATACTAGTCTTTACCTCGTTGGAAACATCCACGACCAGATCATCACTTTTGTCGCCATCACTGTCCTGTAGTGTATAAACAACAGTTACAGGAGTGACCCAAGAAAATAATGGATTTCTAAAAATAACATGGATAGGAGAAAAAACATTTGGCTAAAACACAGCTGCCTGTAAAAGTTGGCAGTATGAACAATCATAAATTTCTATCACGGTATAGACAGTTTATATAGACACTCACCATAATATACACTACCATTCAAAAGTTTGGGGTCAGTAAAGAGTTTAGCGGGGGGTTTTTTAAGTCTCTTATGCTTTGATCAAATATACAGTAAAGACAGTAATATTGACAAATACTATTATAATTAAAAATAACAGCTTTCTAATTTCAAAATGTTTTTTAGAACTATTGGACAGATAGGAAGCACAAAGAACTAAATAGAAATATTGTGTAACAATGTAAAAGTATTTACTGACACTTATGATTAACCTTGCTAAAACTTTTGAACAGTAGCATATGTTTTTAACAGCAAAAAGAACATGACTTAATTAGGGATGCACAATATATCAGTATCGTATCACTCAGAGATCTGTAAATATTAGATATTTAATAGTGCAAAATCATTTACATTTAGATCACATTTGGCCTCATCTGATGCTCACTTAAATTTATTCTTTAAAACACTAATTGAACAGCTAAATTAAATCTGTTGCAAGTCACGATATGAATGCCCATTTAAAACAACTGATTTCTGTATGTGGTGCTGTATTATACAGAATCTTACATATCGGCTCATGTTGTCCTTCTCCTCCACTCTGCGTTTCTTCGGGTCCAGACTGTATTCAGACGAGCCTCTGTGTTTCTCACTGGCCCTCAGGCTGTCTGACGGTGATACTGAATTATTCTGCTTAGACAAAGAAATAAAAAGTTGATCAGCACAAATCACAAATAAAAGCTTACCACTTTGCACTTGGTGACAATACAAACACTTAATGTTCCCCTGAAACAATGCTACATTTACATAATAATATAAAGCATAATGAATATAAACATTTTGCATTGCGTAAAATCAATAATTCAGGATCCTCCCTCAAAAGGTGTCAGAAACCCAAACTGACAGAACCCCTCAAATATCATGTAGCATTCATATATTTACATTAGCAGGTTTATTACATTTTAAACAAACACTCCATGTAAGAACATCTCCCTCAAAAATATCACAACAGACACTTTAGGTTCAGCTCATTAGCTGCAGACAGTCAGCTATGCTCAGGATGGCCCAGACTCTCAGTAGCACAAATACAAATATCAGAGGCGACATGGGGCCACCGGTGGCTTTGAGCGAGCCATGTGTGTAAATTCCTCGCTCGTACAAGGTAAATACGGAGAAGCGAGGGGGTTAAGCCCCAGGCCCTGTTAGATCACCCCGTACTCCCTGGCATGGAGAAAAGGAGAGAGCGTGGGGCCTGCCAAGTAAGCAAGCCCAGGCCCCATGAAGCAAAGCAGGCGGGACAGCTGAGCAAACTATCCCTGAAGAGTGAGGCCTCTAAACCAGCCTGACCACACCACATTTCAAACATTCTGGGCTAACCTCGCAGCCCTGGGCAACCTGCACAGAGCATTACACAATGCCAATGCGCCAAACTGGACAGCAGGGTCAAGCAAAAACTGATCCCTGCAGCACGGAGGGGGGAAGAGAGAGAATAACACAGTGAAACGCAAACACCAGACCAGAATAAACGGCCCCTCACCTCAAGAGTTATCCAGCCAGACGACAGCTTGCGTTCCTACCCTCCTGCACATGCCCGCCCCGACTAAAACACAGCAAACAGCCACTCTTTCACCACAACGACTAGGCCTTAAAAGAGGGAGTGAGTCCATGTATGCCACTTTTACTCCCCGGCCCTCTGCCAAGACCACTTGTAGAGCCACACGATTAATCGAAATAAAAGTGAAATAGCAATATGGCTTAGAGCGATTATCAAATTGCAAATGCTGTGATTGAATTAAAAATAAATATATGCGCAGTGTGTTTTAGAGGGAAGCGTTCCTTATACAAGCAAGCAGCAAAGTGGCTTGTTCACAGTAAATTCTTAACCTCACTAACTTTATCTCTGCATGAGTTGAGTCTGGGTCACTTATGTGTATTTAAAAACACAACACATACCAACCAACCATCTTCCCTAAAATTGATGAAAAGCGGTCAAAAAAAAAAAAAGATTAGATTTAAGGAAATCCTGTGGTTTTCGGTCTAAAAAGCTTGATTGTTTAATACTTGAAACATTAATGAAGACAGCCACAATTATTAGTATTGTAATTTTACAGTTCTTCTGTAAAATAAAATAATTTGTTATTTTACAGTGAATTACAATAGTAATATTTCCCATTTTGTTTAATATTGTAAATTGCAAAAATAAAAAAAAAACAAAAACAAATTGTGAAGCCCTTCAAAAAACAAGCACAGCAAACCTAGAGCTTCCATTCCAATAATACTAATTCTTATATAATAATCAATTAAAAAAATAGCAATAATCTTTTTCCAAATTACACATCTCTACTTTATTGTATTGGGTGGCTTCAAAAATTACGAAAGTATTCTTAAACTTTGTGTGGGTACCATAGGAGAAAGTCACAGCAGATAAGACAGGAAGGGAGGAAGGAAGAGCAGCTGAAGCTACATAGCCCAGAATGCACCGAGAGTGGCAGCGGCTGAGTGGCGCTCCCTCTGTGAGCACGGCTGGGCAGGCGGGCACCATCTCTGGGCCAGAGAGTGTGGCACTGCCAGTGCATGATCTCAGTGCCAAGCCCACACTCTCAGTCTGACTGACAAACCTCTATTCATGCAGAGAGAGAAGGGGAGACAGATGAAAAGGAGGATGTGGCTGGGCCAAAGGAAGTGATCTCCAGGCAGAAGGAACTCCATGCTCTCCTGAAGGCGACACAAAGGAATCCCGGCAGCTTAAACCCCACTCACAAACACTCTACAACAATCTCAGTGTTGCTTTTGTCAGCACTAAGCAGCCCATTTCTCTCCCTACCCCCTTCTTCTGCTAATCCAAAAGTAATAAACAGACCTAGACTGCTCTCTCAGCCTGACAGGGGAGCGTGTATGTGTGCGTCTCAGCTGCGGGTTTAATAGGCTGACCTTTTAAGACAGGCTTAACGTGACTCAATAAGCAAAGTCAGAGCGGTGCTATCAGATGACCCGTGACAACAGGAAGTCCTGGCGGGCAGAGAGCAGGATGGCCACTGCTGCACTAAGCGCTAATCAGCAGCAGAGTCTGATTTCTGCAGGCATGACTGCACCCATTCACACTGCTGCCCATTCAACACACACACAAAACTCTATTGCCAAGTCAAACCTTTCTGCATATCCAGTTTAAGAGGCGAAATGGGGCAATCCAGCAGGAGATAGGGAGACTTTAAGTGGTTATAAGAAAACTGCAAATAAACATGACAAGAGATATGCACAGAGGGACAGAACGAGAGCTGTGGAGACAAAGAGCCAAAGAAACGAGCGAAAGAGCAGTTAACAAAACTGAAGAAAAGAGGCACAAGGAGAAACAAAGGAGGAGGCAATGAGATATGGTTGAATGAGTCAGGTTTATCTGAGCCAGGAGCCGCAGACATGAAGAGTGGGTGAGGACAAATCCTTTCAGATAGAGAGTCAAAGTCTTTTTTAATTGTGATGAAATTATAGCGCTGCTAATCCCTGGCCTGTGCTTTTGCGCATTTTTTACCTGGATTAAAAGTAGGATTATACAGCAGGCTCCCCTCTCTTTTTTATTATTATTATTTTTAAAGGCTTAGTGTGCCCTAATGCTGCCTGCTCACGCTGTTAACGTGCCGCCGACTCCCCTCTTCATCAAACGCCAGGACTTAAAGGAATAGTTCAACGAAAAATTTTAATTCTGACAATTTACTTACATGTCGCTTCAAACTGTTTGAATTTTGTGGAACACTACAGGGGTCATTTGTGAGAGATGTGAAATGGACAAATGTGATGCTCAAGGCAGGTTTTTTTGTTGTTGTTGGACAGGTAAGGGAACTGGTGTGTAGAGTCTTCTCTCTAAAACTCATTAAGATCAGTGTAATTTACATAAAATTTAAGAGACAAATCATGCTGATTCACTTTGACAGATGGCAGTGCAGCATTTAACACCATTGTGGTATCGGTACTTAAAGTACACAAAGAACGATGCGAACACTTGCTAAAAAACTTCTAAATGAATCCACACAGTAGTTATGTGTAAGGAGGAACAGACTAAAACTGAAGTTCTGCATAAAAAAAGCAAGTAGAGACAGACATGGAAAATCAGAAAATGACAGAACTCACCGTGCTAGATTCCCGCTCTTTATCCATGGGAGAATGAAGAAGTCGTTAAAAGAAACAGATAAAGAAAAACACCAAGTCAGCATTTACATTTATTTTCTTACCAAAGCATGAGCGTACCGCTTCAGGACATTTGTTTTTGTTTTCTCTTCAGTGCATACGTGCGTTACCTCTGTGCTCCAGGTCATGATGGTTCTTCTCGTCTTTGACTGGCAGGTGCGCCTGGCTGCCCAGAGCTCCCAGCGCCAGCAGACCTGAACCTGAGCCTGTGACTGGAGGGATGCCTGGTGGCTGCAGTGCCGAGGGGTGAGGGGGCAGCTGGACCGGGGGTACATGGGCAGCATGAGAAAGGTGTTGAGCCTGGAGCTGCTGCTGCTGTCAACACACACATGTACATCAAGTGGGTCGGAGGGCAAAGGCATATGGACAGCACACACTGAATAAAGGTGACTGGTTAAGCCCCACTCTCACAGGATGCACGGAGAGGAACACTGGCACCCTAACACCTTAGTGGCTGGATCAAAGCAGGACACCCTTCACAAGGACATGTCCTCCTTGAGCTCAGCAGGAACAGCTCACTCAGACACATACTACAGCTTTCTAAACATGCACAGCTCTTAACAACTACACTACTTAACATGCATCTTTTTGCAACAAACCAGAAATACATAAAACCTTGACTAGTTACATGAGCTTCAAACTGAATTTTTACACACTCCTATCCTATACAATCAAAAAACAATATTAAAATAAGGGTGCATTCTGGTATTTGTTTTCTGAGTCAATATGTACACACATTCATTCACTATATTACATATACACACACAAACACACACACGCACAGTCAAGTGAGTTAGGCAAAATGTAGGTAAACATCAAATGAATGGCATCCACTACAGTCACATCACAGCCCATAATATTTCAGTTTACACAGGTCCGTGGTTACCATCTCCTAGGCTATGCCACTCCTCCATGCCTCCTTAACAACAGCCAATCAGACAAGCCATTCTATGTTTGTGTTAATTTAATAGCCTGTAACACGTGGCGTCAAAGCAGTAGCTGTTTACAGCTGAGAGAGGAAGATGTAATAATGCAGCTGATAAGATCAGGTAAATGTGTGTTGCACTGTGTGATCCATCTTAATTCCATCTGGATTAAACATTATGTTGGTCATTGCTTAATGTCTGTTAAAAAATAAATACATAAGTTTTGTCTTTTTTAAATTTTGGATTTAGACCTTTTGGGTAAAATATCGGAATCTTTTTTCATGTGAAAAGTCCAATCACAGACTGGTATAATTTTATACATCAATTCCCACAATTGTACACCATAATTATAGAATTTATCACCAGACCAATTTTGCTGGATTAACGGTCCTGTGACACATACATCCAATGCACAAGACCTTCCCAAATCTACAGTAGATAGACATGCCCATATTAGTAATAACTGCAAAACCCCAAATCAGTCTACATCAGTACTTAACTAATAACAATCTCAAAAACTAATCTAGTCCATATAGTGCTTAACAAAAAAAAAAATTCAATTTCAGATCAAAAAGCTGACATACACTACCATTCAAAAGTTTGGGGTCAATATGATTTTTCTTTAAAGGGGTCATATGATGCGATTTTAATTTTTCCTTTCTCTTTGGGGTGTTACAAGCTCTTGGTGCATAAAGAAGATCTGTAAAGTTGCAAAGACTAAAGTCTCAAATCCAAAGAGATATTCTTTATAAAAGTTAAGAGTCAGCCACACCTACCTAAAACGGCTCGTTCTTTTTAACAGCATCATATGACCCCTTTAAACTGATCAAAAGTGACAGTAAAGACATTTATAAATGTTACAAAAAATTATATTTCCAATAAATGCAAGAAATTTCTAGTCAATTTTAAATGCGATAAATCAGCATATTAAAATGATTACAGAAGGACCATGTCACAATGAAGACAAATCCAGCTTTGCCATTAACTACATTTTAAAATGCATTAAATTATTGTAAATATATTTATTTTTAATCAAATAAATGCAGTCTTGGTGAGCACAAGAGACAAACAAACAAAAAGAACAGTAGTGAAAGTATGAGCTGTGAAAAGAATTTCAAATAAGACTTTGTAAGCAGAAATGTAGCTCTACATACAAACATTTTCTCATGCAAAATGTAGCACATTTAGTTTTAATGCATTCAGTTGTTTTAAGCAATCAAAATATGTATCAAACATTTTATTGATGTATCAGCAGTCCTGCAGTGGTCATCTCAATGTAAAGAGGGCTCAAATATATAATGAACATTTATAAACCTGTGTGAACAAGCACTACTATTCTCCCAGTAAACAGCCATTGCTTTGACACCAACGATTAAAGAAAGCACAAGGCAGAACACACACACACACACTAGATAACACTGAGAAGCGTTAGGGTCTAAAGAATGTTGGGGTCTCAAATTCACTTCAAAAACCCAAATATAACACACACAGAGGCTGTATTTAGCACTGACCATCAGAGCAGGGTAGACAGCATGAGGCTGCTGCTGATGAGAGAAAAGAGACGAGCATGTCATTACACGCTCACACCGCTTACTCATGAATAACACATCACTACTTCACAAATCCACCCAGGCACATGAATGCTGACCAACACTATTTCAGCAATGAAGGGTGCTTTTGTATTTAAATGTGTGTTTCTAACCTAACCACAGTGCTGAACACCCTAACCGTCCTAGAAAGACACAATGATCCCTACTAGTCTTCCACTAATAGCATAGTAGTGACAAATATAACTGGCTAAACATTCGCCTTTATCATTATAAGTCATGTTTTGAGTCAGACTGAGGCCATTTATGCTGCTAGTGTGAAATCTGAAATGCAAATGAACAGAAACAGCATGCAAAATGAATCTGGTGTTCTGTATCTAAACAAAAAGCAAACCAGCAGCAAACCTCTGCCGCTAAAGTTTTACATTAAAATAGGGCTGGACAATAATTCAGTATCAATATGTATCGCGATATAATTTTTTTCAATAACGGTGATATGATTTTTAAACACATTTCCGATATACATTACCAGTGTTTCCCATACATTGATTTATTTGTGCCGTTTGACTTCGTTGAATAAACATGGGCACAGCACGTTTCAAAATCATAACACGGCGCGGGTGTTTTATATGAATGTATCTCTGAAGGGAATTGACTGTCTTCAGAAAAGTTTCGATGGCATTTTCATTTGATCTGATAAAGAAGCGTTCATGAGCGGAGCTTAGAACGATCCAAAGATTAGCATTTATCTGAAATAAAAAGCTTTCGTAACATTATACACTATTCCATTCAGTATAATTTTTATTATTTTTTGGGGAAAGAAATTATAGAAATTAATACTTTTATTTAGCAAGGATGCTTAAAATTGATCAAAAGTGATGATAAAGGCATTTATAATGTTACAAAAGATTTCTATTTCAGACAAATAGTGTTCATATCGATATCGGAATTATATCGTATCGACCAAAATTAAGAAATATACCGTGATATCAATTTTGGCCATATCGTCCAGCCCAAAGTCAGCTGTCCACGTTACAAAAGATTTCTATTTCAGACAAACAGTGTTCATATCGATATCGGAATTATATCGTATCGACCAAAATTAAGAAATATATCGTGATATCAATTTTGGCCATATCGTCCAGCCCTACATTAAAATAATAATAATAAAATTCACACTGACTTTTATATTAAGACAATTTTTACAACTTTTCATGAAATTAAGGTCTTGTTTGGCTTAACCATCACACCTGCATTAATATGCTTTTCAAGTGGTGAGCCAAGACAGATTATACTTGTGTATACCTAGTCCTTTCATATAAATGATAAAAGGGCTTTTAAATTATTTTTAATAGCCGTCAATTAACCTGAGACAGTTTAATTCCAGGTATAAAAAGGGCTAGGACTTCTTATAATCGGGTCTTTAAGTGTGAATTTACCTCTGCCATTCTAAGGCTGTATGTATATTTGGGCTGCACAACTTAGGGAGAAAAATAATTAAATTGTAGTTTTTGATAATTTAAAAAAAATAATTCTATTTAATAAAAAGAATACTGCTAAAGTGTTTTTTTTTTAAGAAATGATTACTGTAATATTTCTATTATTAATATCACTTTGTGATTGATTTGATCAATCACAGACCTAGCATGCATATATAAATATGGCAAAAAAGCAACAGTATGAGTAATACATACATACATACATACATACATACATACATACATACATACATACATACATACATACATACATACATACATACATACATACATACATACATACATACATACATACATACATACATACATACATACATACATACATACATACATCTCGTCTGTGAACAACGGCTCTGTGTAGTTAATGCTGCTCAATGTGAAAGCACGCACGTGATGGAGATTTACCGCTGATTACAGAATGGCTTTACTGACAAGATGCGCGTTAAATATCGCATGCGATTTATCGTGCAGCCCTAATATATACACATATATATATATACACAAGTGTACGCCTTACTCATACTGTTGCTTTTTTTTGGCACAACTACAGCATCATTAACATAAAAACCTTGTTGGCTGTAACTTATTAGCAAAGCCACAGACATGTACAGCACTGTCACTTTAACAGGTCAGTGGTACCGCAGACTAAAGCTTTCATGGGCGCCTCTCTTCTCTTGCTAACCCACTTATTTGCCTCTACCCCTCCCTGTGGATATCACTCCCTCTCTCAATGTCTCTCTCTCCTTTCACAATCTTCCTTCTCCTCTCTTTCTCTCTTCTCTCTGTGCCAAACGCTGCTGGCTCCTGATTAACAGTGAATCTTTAATGACCCCCCTCCCCCTCTCCGTCAGGGCACACAGATTGATCTCCTGCAATCTCACCTGCCAACAAATAAAAGCTTGGTTTTTTTTCCAAGCCTGTGAGGATGTGTGTGAGAGTGTGTTAATTCCTGCAACAGTGCGGCAAGTGTCTGCCTGACTACATCTATTTATCCACCATCATGATGACCATGTGACTGCTAAGTAGGGCTGGGTATCGATTCAGATGTTCCAATTCGATTCGATTTCGATTTTCAAGCTCTCAATTCGATTCGATTTCGATTTTCTACTGCTAAGTGTGTGTATGTGTGAGCAGAAGCAACAAGCCCTGCCCCCATGCCTCCCCCACCTCTCGCCAAGCTGCTCTGCTGAATGGCTAGCTGTTAAATGATGGAGCCCCGTCGACAGTTGCATTCAGGCAGATTCGAGGAAGCAATTACCTTGAAAACGGGTCAGAGTCGTGGCTCATTTGCCTTAATTGAATTCCAATATCTGGCTTTGGCTGTCCTGACCCAGCTCAGGACCTCCTACCCACCAGCCCAGCCCAGGCTAATCAAAGTTGGATAGCCACACTCGCCACAGGAGACACACTAAGTACTTTTACATCCAATACAAGTTTGATTTTAGTTACTTAATGGATTTTACTAAAACAATCATTGTTTTTTGTTTTTGTTTTTTAAATCAAATGGAAACTTTTAAGACACCAAGAAAGTAATTATTCACCTTTTTGAAATGCTTAAGCACACTAGTTTGGTTTTTAGAACTACTACTGGACCTAGATAATGTGATTGTAGCTCGTCTTTGTCAAGCATAGCATTGTGTGCTTGCTCTGAAAGACAGATGTGACAATGCAGATTTAATCTTTCAAATAATACACACTATATATATATATTTGGACAGAAAGATCATGTATACATAACTGTGATTAAATGCGCATGTAAGAGTACTTCTGTTCTTAGTTTACTGACCTACAGAAATGCATAATTTAGATTAAGCACGGCATAAAATGATCTCTTATTAGATTAGAATCAAATACATTGCCTGATATTTCACACTTGAAACAGTTAACCCTGGATCATTCTAAACTCGGGGTAAACAGATTCCTGGATTATCTTGATTCACGTTTCATACTGTTCATACTTTACCCAAGATTAACACTGGAGTACTCATATGCTGACGTTTCACACAGTGCATTCCTACATCCCAGGTTAATGTTCCTATATGTGATGTCAGTGTCATTGACTGGACAACCACAGCAAGCAACATGTTTAATGGCATCCTCATCTTGTGTGTTGGTGACTGTACTATAAGTTAACACACTATAAAGATAAGCATGACACTGTTTGTCACTATTTGACATTTTCCAAATCAAATGATGTTTATACACAGTGCAGTTTCCATAATGGTAATATGAGGTATGTGATTGATTGTCTGTTGCTAAGCATCTAGCCATAACATTCTAACACAGCATCTTTTCACTTTGCACAAGATTGGCACCACAATTTAATATGCCAACTCTAGGTAAAAAGCGTTGCTAACCCCGCTTCTAAAATACAAGTATGAAAAATACCTTTACTCAGGGTTAAAAGCCAGCTTTAGAATGACAATAACCAAGGGTTAGGCAGTGTAATTAGCCTAATACAGAAACGGGTTAAATTCAAGTAAGGTTTGTTGCCCAAGTCAATGGGAAGCTTCTCAATGCTCCTTAAAGGCATAGTAAGTGATTTTTCAAAAACACTTTATAAAACTGATTCGGGCCGAATCGCAAAACAAACTTGTAGCCAATCAGCAATAAGGGGCGTGTCTACTCGTGATGTGGATGAGAGCGCGTTCAGTGCATGGGACGGACATTAGCCGAGCCGAGCGACAGAGAGATAGAGATGGCGGATAAAAAACAAAAGAGGAAAACGTCTGCGGAACGATAAGGCAAGAAGTAGGACCCGTGTAAATATCGGATCAGCTTTCCAGCGCTGGAGAGAACTCAAGGAGCGGAGGCCTGCGATCGGACGCCGAGGTTGCGTTGTTTCTTCTCAATAGGTGAGTAACACCGTCTACAACAGCTAAAGTCTGCCTACACTGGACGCGATCAAACGGCCGTTGAAAACCATTTGAAATTTGTGTCAGCACGTCATAAATAGAACCCGGCAGCAGTTTTCTGTCGGGGATTTGTTGCACCGCGCCGCTCACGTCCGTAGACACGGTGTAACATTGGTTTTGCTTTGTTTCACAGAACTAATCGTTGCCTGGGTTGCGTACGTATATGTGGGGCGGAGCTATCAAAATAGGGGCAAGACCCTTTTGGGGTAGAGGCGTGTTTGTTTTGGTGATTTCAAATATCAACATTGGCTACCAGAAATCACTCACTCTGCCTTTAACACAAGCTCTTTAAAGTATTTAACATGGCTAATCACAGACAAACCTGACCGAATTAGACTACTCCCTTTGTGTGATCAAAACAAGAGCTTAACTACACAAGCCTAAACATGTTTCCCTCCACATGCCTCTCAAACCCTGTGACAAACAGACACACAGAGAGAGAAGCACTACACGCACAAATGAACTCAAATGATCCGAGCGGCACACACCGACGAGACATAAACAACAATGGCATAAAAAAGCAAACATCATGGTGTAAACATATGACATCACAAATTAAAAAGTAAAATCAGACCATGAAGGGCAGGGGCAAATCTGCAGCAAGAGACTGATGGGACTAAGACACACCAACAATCCTGATCTCCGCCTAGAACACAAGTATAAACGTCTCTGGCAATCACGGATTTGCCCTTGGACTGTTTACGAGCTGTTGAGGTGATAGGTGTCGGATTGAAGGTTTTACAGTGGAGGATTACAGCTGATGTATCACCTTTGACCCAAACCCCGCCTGTGGGAGTAGGCTAGTTTACCTTCTTTAGCAGCTAATTTGATCTTTATTGCTACATACTATAAATCCAATTGTCATTTAGGAGCCAGGCATGAATGCATTAGTACACTGAGCTGCATGTGTGCAGGTTTGTCCCTGGCCCTGGTCAAATGAAGGAGAAAGAGGGGTATACACACGGTAAGAGGCAGATTGGGAAGTCCACGTACCCCGATGATGGCATTCAACTCTGTCATTGTCACTTGCTTAGCACGTTCAACAGCCTGTGCAACCTGCTGTTGGTGCTGGAGGAAAGAGAAAAGACAAATCAATAAACTGAAAATTAGCATGGGCTAACAGAAATAATGGCACTAAGATGGCTTATTTTATGAACAGAAATTGAGAATATTTACCTCTTGTGACAAAAAAGGCATGATTTGAGCAAGAATCGCATTTAGCCGTTTGGCAATCTCAGTCTGAAATAGAATAACAGAGACATACAAACAGTACGGTTATTAAATGTTGTCAGCTCTTCTCTAATCACTCAAATGTACTTAATTCACGACAGCATGCGTTCAAACACTCTCACGTTACTTTCACATTGCTGAATGCTCTAATCAAGCCTCCGTGCATCTAAACGAGGCATGATGGGATACCTCCAGAACTCCTGATTAATGAAGTAAAAACTTCAGAAACGTCGGTCTTCGCTGATGTTGCCATGTGTCAGATTCGCCGCATAATGAACACGAGGCGATTTGAGCACTGATATGGTGTGTGTGTGGCTCACAAAGCCAAACAGCGCTCCAGCACACTGCTACTGAAACAGATCTGGCCAAATCCACAGCTCTGCCAGGGCAAGATGGGCAGAAGGCCTGCGGTGCCCATCTGGCCAAGAGATGGTGAGAGGGAAGGAGGGAGAAATATGCTAATGCTGATTTGGTGCTGGGAGATTAACGATGGCAATACTGAGCAATTACCATTTTCCCCCATGCTCCCATTCCAGCAGCGCAGGAGGCGAGGAACCGGAGCCCTACAGCAATATTCAAAATGACTTTTATTGATATGGAGAGACGGACAGGGTAATCAGCCAACATGCTCTGGTTCTCCTGCATTACTCACGGCTACCTGAAGCCCCCAAGAGCTATATTTCATCATGAGATATGGTAACGCTTCAGAATGAAAAGGAGAGAAGGGAAAGGAGAGCGTGAGGGAGGGGGGAGAGGAAGTATGGGGCGGTGAACAAATTGATTATAGGTTGGAGCAGATGGCCCAGCAGGTGAGGAAGGAGAGAAATTTCGCTCTCTTTCACTGCAAGCCACATTCCGTTCATTTTTTGGCAGCGTGACCTCTGCACCTGTGGGAGGGTGCTGACCCTGGCACTCTGATGGATTTGGTCTCTCTTTAGAGCGGGCGAGAGTGGATGAGTTCTGACCTGTGATGAACTGTCTCTAGGGATGTGAACAAAGGATCTCAGCCCTCTCCACACCCCTTCAGAGTCATTGAGCTATTAATGCTTTCTCAGCCCGGCTTTGCTACACAAACACACTCCTTCGCAAAACAAACACGTACAACAACAATAATCTGTTGGTATCTAACCAAAGCGAGGAAATATTCGAACATGAAAACGCTGCCTGTTCTCATACGCCAGCCGTACACTGAGCTTCTCTTTCCATCGCTTCACCCCCCTCCTCCCCTTGGCTTCCATTCCTGTATGCCACTCTGAGGTTGCCACAGCAACCGGTCCGCCCCTATCTCTCCCTCAGATCATTATGTAAATTGGAGCTCTGCTTGACCATAACAGGCAGTAAAATCATATTACGCGCACAGGGGCAGGTCATTAAATTGAATTTTCAGCCTGTCGATCAGATCAACTCGGCAAATTAATGTGGGATGAAAGGGGGCAGATGGGGGAGGGGGAGTAACGGCTTCTCTTTCATGGGTGGGGTGAAGTGTGTGTGTGTGTGCGCGTGTGTGTGTTAAGAGAGGGAAGATTGGGAAACACTACTCAGCTGCCTGAGCCAAAAAACCCTGGTGACTGTCCAAAGGAGAAGATATTCCACAGCAATTATCAGAAATGACTTTCCCACTGATATACGGCATATGACTTGTTAGTACACGGCACACTATGTACCACAGAATCTAAATACAGAGAGCAGTAAGCACCTGCTTTAGCAAAACAGCTTCCTGTTGTGATGCCAGTTTGAATCAAACAATGCAGCTTGTGGTAAAAATATCTACATTTACATTCATAAAAAATAAATAAACACTTTAAGGGAAGATATGATACAAGGGTGAATCTCATAAAAACAAAAATGTTTTGCATCATGATCCTACAAATAAGATTTTTTGCATTGACACTGACTCACATTTTATCCTCTAATCTAATTATGCTACAAAAAATACTGCACTGCCATTATAATAATAAAAAAAAGAGAATCAATTTAGAGATAATTAAGGGAATTACCAAACAACAAAAAAAGCAAGTAATAATAAATTGAGAGGGAAAAAAATAGTCATGAAACTGCCACAATTAAGGACGCACCGAAATGAAAATTCTTGGCCAAAGACAAAACCGAACAAAATGAAACACTAGGCCAAAGGCCGAATACGATTTTTTGAGTTCTTCTTCCCCCCTCCCCCATCCCCCATCAACTTCTTTTAAAACATTAGAAAATATTACAGATCCTAATTTTAACACTATGTGTGAATGTTATAATAAATGTATTAACAGAGCTGTGGTAATGATTAGTATCATTATTATCGTCTTACTTTTTATTTTATTTTACAGAACAACAGTAAAATGACAATACTAACATTTATAAATGTTGATGAGTTCTTGCTTTTATTTTGGCAGAAACGCGCAGGAAGACCTCAGCGCTTGTTTTTGTTAACAGCAGATTTATAAATGAGTCTCATTACGAATACGTCGCACGTATCACATGGTCACATGCCTTGTAAAAATTCATAAAAATGTGACTGAGCAACTGACGAGTAACACTGGTTCAGCGAAGATTTTCCTCGCGCTTTGGACTTTGAACCCTGTGGTTAACAAGCAGATCTGCTGCGAGTTCATGCAGCGCTGTCAGAATACATGCAATTCGTGCATGTTTTAGAAAACGCAACGTTCTGCAGTTTATTTACTAATTGTTTAAGGCCATTTCACAATTTCAATCATCATACAGTAACCAGCAACAATCACCCCTTCCTCTTCTCATTGAAGACATGCGATGCAGTCCTAAACGGTCTCTCGCTGTCGGTGCTTGTAATGATTTTTGCGTCTTTCTCGGACAGTTCATATCATTGTTTGGTACAATTTATTCAGTCTTTTTACTTATTCGGCCGAACACCGAAAGAGCTTTTTTTGCAATTTTCGGCCGAATAATTTCGGTTGCCGAACATTCGGTGCATCCCTAACCACAATGCAAATAATATTTTTCTTTCTTTAGCGAAATAACTCGTTTTTTCTTTCTTTTTTCTGCCCTGGACGTATTTTGTGAGTTTTACCGTTGACAGACTCCATAAAAAAAAGCCAAAAAGACTTGAATCAGAATCACTTTACACAAACCTACATTAACCTCAGATTAAACCCCTGCGCCATGGGATAAGAACAGGAAGAGCAGTATTGCGGAGTTCCAGAGGCGTGCCGTAAACTACTAGAACAGCTCCCACACAGGCTGATAAAAAAAAATAGGGCACAGGGAGTGAAAACAAGGCCCTTCAGCAGAGAGAGGCTTTCTGCTCATCTTCACAATCCCAGGTGCTCAGTGCTGTCAAGCAGCGTGTGAAGAGCTCTCACACACAGCCCTGTCAATGGCACGCCAGAAGCCATTTACCTGTTGCTGTGGGTACGAGCTGAGAGCAGGGAGACACTGATGAGGATTAAATATGCTGCAAAACAACTGAAGGAGAGCCACTCACTGACAAATGAACACACACACAGACCACTGCACTCTCTCTCTGTGACTCAATGAACAATTACACACAAAAGAGAGGGAAAGTAGAGAGCGAGTTTGTACAGTTGAACTTACATTTACATGCTCACTCAAACATATACAGTACTCAACATTTGAAGTGGATCAAAAAAGTTCATCAAAGTTGTCCTAAGACAAGAACACATTTTGGTTTTAGGTTAACTTTGATGAAAGGTTTTGATCCACTTCAAATGTTGACTACTGTACATTCTGATGACAGATGAAGCCATCTTCACGGATAAGACAAGTTAACAAATAAACCAAAGCACTCAGTGGCATTCACACACTCGAGTTCATTCCTTCCCGCCTGACACAGGCTCTTCTAACCCTCGGCTTCCCTCGGGCTGAAAGGCTGCATTGAGCAGCAGCCGTCTGTACAGGGTGCCTCTGTCTTGCCCTCGCTGCATATCCAGCACAAATCCTGTTGGAACCGTTTAGTGATGTTTGTGTCTCTCTGTGCATTCATCTCCTGAAGCCGGACACAAAGGACACAGACACGACCACCTGGTTCAGTGCACAGAGCTGAGAGACAGATGTGACCCAAACTTTATACACAAACACACACACAACAATATCTATATTCAACAATGAAGATGCAATGTAGCAAGCAGCTTAAAATGTCCTATATGCTTGCATTTGATTACATATTGCAGTCCAATAAAACACTTCATTCAGTGCAGCTTTTTCTCTGGAGGAAAACAAATAGATCAATTGTTCAATATTAGAGACTTTTTAACTTATGAGTATTGGTTTACATTTAAAACATACGTTATGTTGGCTGATACTGGATATTTAACCGAGTGCTCACTTAAAGTTAATTTTTAAAGCATTAAATAATTCAAACAAATGCAATTTTCAGCTAAATAAAATTAAAAATGTTGCATATTACAAATTATAATGTTGTGATGCCAATTCACTATTAAAGCAATCGATTTCACGTTTTTTTTTTTTTTAAAAATACAGATCTTAATATCAGGCATTATGCAAATAAAAACGGATTATTGGTGCAATAAAGTAAATGTAACACAAAATAAATAAAAATACAAACAAATGAACCCTGATAAGCTCAAAAAAAATTGTGCGTTTTAAACTAGGCAAACTTTCAGAATAAAATATTATAATATAACCCTGCATTCTGTAAGGAATTAACTGGCCTGCCATGATAATGCGGGCGCATTTTGTCACCACTAGACATCTCACTCACATGTACACAAACACTTCTGAAAAGAGACTGCAGTGTGCTCCGAGTCAGTTTGCTTTGGCTCAGAATCAAATCGACCATCATCACCTTGGCAAACAATTCCTGGAATCCTGAATAAATTATTCATCTGAACAAGTTCCCTCCCCGCTGCCAGTCTCAACCCCCCTCCTCGCTCTCTCTCACCCTCTAAGGCCACAGATTGAGCTTCACTTAATGAATCTGGCTTAGTGTGTGCACACAAAGAAATGACCAAATACGGCCACACCAATGATAACACACACACACACACACTAGTTCTGCATTCATTCAGCAGCGAGCACTTCAGGACAAAATGAGGAAGAAAATGAAGACAGAGGGAACTGTGTTAAACACAGAGGGACAGCAGATCAGGGGCCTCGGAGGCTCAGTAATTAAAGGGCTACATTGACAAGCACAGCACAGTCCACTTCCTGCCCCCACACGGACAGCCCTCCCCTCATGACCGTAAAACTCACCATCCTGCCCCGAGGCTCTAACGTTCCGCAAGATTAGCACTGACCTCGCACCATTACAAACTCTCGAGTGTGTTTACATTAAACGGTTATTTAACACTAATCCAAATCTGGTGGATCCTGAAAGCACATGACAAATCTGGCACCTAGATGCATTTTCCTCCCTTTCCTTTCTTTTCCAAAAGCACTACATGAAGGGCAGACTGTGTTATCAGACTGCTGTCATCACTAACTCCGGAGAGAGCAGGGAGTCCATGCTCCGATGAATAATTCATGCGTTTGAGTCCACTCAGTCAGAGCCCTATTGATAAACAAAAGAGGCTCTGAAAAAAAAAGCCAGTCGATTAACCTGTTTGCGCAAAGCCCCTGTACCTTCCCTTCCCTCCCTTTTCATTTTCTCTCCGTCTCTCTCACAGCTGGAGATAAGTGCCTGACAGAACCTTTCAGAAAATGCAGTGTCTGTGAGAGAGACATGTGGCCCAGACACACACACACACTCGGAGTAGCTGATGGATTGTGCATGCTGTTCCAATTCACCACCCTCACACTGATACCATTAACCTTGTGAGGCCTCAGGGTGAGAACCATAAAGGGCCTCTTCAAACTGAGCCCTCCTCATATAACTATACATCATATCACTACTAATGACATCGAGAGATAGAGAAATAGAGGAAATGGGGGTGTTGCCTGGTATCTCTTTTAAAATGCATCAATTTCTTAACCTCACTTGGTTACAAAACCCCAATTGATCAGTTGCAGAAAAAAAACCCATACAGGCTGACAACAATTAGGACTGCCTGTGATGCCAACCATTCACATCAATTACTAAAAGAGGTTAAATAACTTTTCCTGCTGGACACGGCTGACCTAGTGACCTTTATCTGGCCAGGTCTCCATCTTTCTCTTGCTTATCCTTTTATTTTTAGTTCTGTTGCGTGCAAACACCACTTTCTGCCACTTTTATTTATAGGGGCAGCATAGGAAACAAAGAGACAAAAAGGGAACAGAATGAACAGGAAATGGATTCAGACTTGCACAAGCCAGATTCAACCATGCACTAATAACTATGCCTCTAACTAGGCTTGCCGCGATAGACGGTGTTGACGGTGATACCGGAGTTAAGCCGCAACACCGGTTACGTCACTTGCCCACCGCGCGAAAGCGAGGAAAAGAGGGAACGCCTCGCCCCCACGGTGATACCGGTATTACCGGTGTTGTCACACGTCGATTAACCGGTGGGAAAATTTCCTCACCGTCACAACCCTACCTCTAACTACAGTAATCAATTTAATCATACGTATTACTACTCAAACTGTACGCTTGCATGTTTTTGTGCACGCACCCGTTGTAATATCTGCAAGAAACCTTCCATGTCATTATCATCTTTCTGACCAGAAGAATTTGTCTTGTACAATAAAAATAATCACACAAATGAAACCCACGCAATGTACAATGAAAAGAATATGGGGTCCGAGAAGATCACATACCTGTTTATGCATTTCAATGTTCAGCCCATAGGACATCTCATAATACTGCAAGAAAAAAAAAAAAGAGAAATGCATTTAGCACACAATAGTATAATGCTATTGACTGCAGTAGTGCAGAGTATCACCTATATCATGCACCCAATTTATTACCAAGTTTAACACCCATGAAAAAACGTGTACACAAAGCTAGGATAATTGCCTGATTATAGGAGTAGAGAGCAATGTTTATGAATCTCTCTGGCAACATTTGTTTAGTGGCATTTACTCACTACTAGCATTCATGAAAGCACACTTTTTATAAAAGTTACTAAACAGTTGTTTAAAAAAATAAACTATGCAAAGATTGACAAATAAGCATCTCATCCACCATTATTTACCCTCCCTTTCCTCACTGCTCTTCCATCTCTAAGAAACATTTATTTTCATTGAAAATTTCATTTCAGTTCCATCATAGGCATCTCTGTCAATTCAAGAGAAAAGTGGTTTTCTATACTCAAAATAGCCGTTCAGACTATGTTCATCTGAACAACTACTGAAAAAAAAATTTTTTCTAAGAGCATAGCTGTGTATTTCATTTCGTTTATCTGGTAGTGGCCTTTTTACCACTCGGCATTCCTCCAAAAAATAATATTTAACAAAGGTGCCGACACGTTGAGTCAATATCTACTGCATGTTCAAATAAGATAAGAGAGAGTAGAGCTCGGTTAACAGTGTTCAACCTGTGCACTATTACATCACATCCTGATGGAATTCAGTTTCCACTCACTGGACTTCTAATAAGCGGCGTTCAGCCACACTAATACTAGTGTAATTCCTGAATCGCACACAAGGGTCAATATTGAGTGAGACTGCAATCATTCTGAAGGTTGATAACGTTTCATCTGGGTCAGGTCTCTATGTAATTTAAGACAAAAACAACTATACACACCTCCACTGAATAAACTGGTTGATTTTTAATTCGTTAGCTGACAAGATCTTTGTTGATTACATTCACTGCACATTATCATCATAAAATTATTATTTAATCTTGACAAATTATTTACACTGGTCTCTTAAATGCTGTTTGTTCCAAAAATCCAAATCTGATTAAACTGAGCAAGTCTGCCTTTCTCTCACACGAATCAAGAGACACTCAGCACCTCGGGTCAGAGTGGATGGAACAAGCAGTAACTCCCTGCCCAAAACAGCCTCCAGGCATTTCACAACAAATAAAAACACCCACACTCTCATAATCTCAACACTGATCCTCCAGTGCAATCAATGCAAATACTATCACACAATAAATAGGGGTAGTGGATACTAAACACCAGCTCAGATAGCTGGCTGGTGACCCTATTGATGTTTTCAGAGGAACAAAAGATCAACAGATAGAAGACCTCGGATAAAAAAAACAAACCACATCTTGCTCTTACCATGACATAATGCCGCTGCATCTCTGTCTTCTCATTGGCCAGTTTGTCATACTCCACTTTAAGACTAAGGAGAGAGAAAGACCATTATGAGTTCCGTTCCTGGATAGCAAAACCACTTAAAGATCTCTAGGTGGTCACATACACATGCAACTTATTGACATATTATGTATTTATGCAGGGACAATTACATATACAAATATGTAACTATAAACAGTTCGTTAGAGTTACTACACAGACACACACATACACAGGTATATTACGTACAACATTGTTATAGTTACTTTTCAACAACTGCAAAGTTTAAGGTTGCACTAATGCTGCATTTGATTTACACAGAATCAAAGCAGCATCAGAGCCGCCTCAGAGTCTAGTAACAGGTGTGAAATGAGTCACAGCCATATTTACCTGTGGTACTGAGCTTGAAGGAACTGGAATTCATCTTTGATCCTGTCACAAGATTCTGCTACAGTGAATTTGAAGCCTGGCTGACCAGGCTGGTGAGGTGCCTGAAAAAAATATCAATCATTTATGTGAACTGTTGCAAAGGATAAACTTCATGTTACTAATACAATCCAACCTAGTCACTGATGCAGTATGCTATTACTCCAACAACAGTGTTTTTAGCATGTCATTGTACCTTTGACTTCCTACCACCATTACCAACACAACCTACGACCTTCTCCATTACTCCTTTTACGGCAGTCCATAGGTTTCAGGTTTTACTTTCACTGTGTTTTTGAGCAAGTCATGGGTATAACCACGGGTGTCAATAACACATTTCATGCTTCCCGATTTTCAGGGAAATGATATTTCATCGGAGCTGAACTGCGGTTTGTCAGAAGTGCCCAGGCGCTCCCTCGAGCTCAGCCTGTCGATGGTTTTGAGCCTCCAACACTCAGCAGCGGTCGGCGTGACACAGACGGGTCACTGCGTCTAAACAGCCCCGGAGAAAAACGAGCAGCTGACTCCGCTCCTTTCATTTTTTTCTAAACGTTTTTCCACTTTAAAGTGAAATGAAAACGCACTACTGTTCAGAAGCAAGTTAACGGACGTCCAGAGGAGTACATCCTTGTTTAGTTTGTGCAGAAATAAAGGACCGAGGCGAGGGAGACGTCACGCGACACAATAGTGCTCAACGGAGAAGGTAAACGCGCTCTTGCGCGGAGCTGCCTGAACACAATGCATCAACATAATTTATGTTACTCACCGGATGCCGGCCCTGCGGATACATCCTGAATGTATCCTTTCTGAGGTGAAGATCCAGGGATGTGGCGCTCTTCAGTAATCCGAGTAGATGAGCGAGAGCCCGTCGGTCACCCCTCCCTGCACTCGCGGACACACAAAGCCCAGTCCGTCCACCGCTTCTCCCGCTCCTTATACCCGATTTAACCCCGTTATCCTTCACACACAGCCGAGGAACAAGACAAAAACACAGCGCGCTGGCTCATTATCTCCAATAAGATTCAAGCATTCAGCTGCGCGTGCTGCAAACACAGAATAGTTGTATAGAGCGAGTCAAACACACATTTGCTGCTTGTCATCTGCGCTGCGAGCTGCGACTAACAAACTGCTTATGAGTCTTCTCGAAATAACAAGATTACCTGACTGCTGTTTGCTTGAATGTAACCCGACAAGATTACAGAACAATGTAAAACACGCTAGATAAGACAAAGCAACAGAACCCCGATCAACTTAGAGCAAATTTCTCGATAAATGGGTCAAAAATTAATTACACTTATTCTGTTTAGCACAATGTCGTAGTAAATACGGCAATAGCAGCTTTGCAAATTACAAAACAGGAACGGAGAAAATAAAGCACGCAGAGTGTTGAATTTGCTAAATAAACAGTGGATTACAAGTGGATTCTTTTGAAAGTTATCTTCCGCGTTACCTTTAGTCAAAACACGCTAGATAAGACAAAGCAATAGAACCCCGATCAACTTAGAGCAAATTTCTCGATAAATGGGTCAAAAATTAATTACACTTATTCCGTTTAGCACAATGTCGTAGTAAATACGGCAATAGCAGCTTTGCAAATTACAAAACAGGAACGGAGAAAATAAAGCACGCAGAGTGTTGAATTTGCTAAATAAACAGTGGATTACAAGTGGATTCTTTTGAAAGTTATCTTCCGCGTTACCTTTAGTCTCCATAAAATCCTTTTCCACGAATGTAAACACAGCAATAATTCCTTGCACCGAGGAAACGTCGAAGTCCTCCACTCGTGACTTTATACGAACAGTATTAGGCGCTGGTTGGGAATCAATCCCAACCCTAAAAAACAGCGCCTACAATCGCTTCGAGAATGTTTTCTTCAGTTAAGACTCGGTTCTCGCTTGAACACAATTCGCAGTATTCCCGCTGTTGGTAAATTCTCCCAATACCTATTTGCTTGTTTGTTTAAAAATGTCTGATTGTGAAAAGTTTGCCTCGTACGTGCCAGCCGCTCGCAATCGCTTTGCCTAGTTTCTCAAACACTCGCAGTACCACACACAGACTGCCCACTGACACGCGGGCTCAACTACCGCGAGAACAAGCGAACGCAACCAATCAAAGCTCGGAAAGGACTTCACCGCGCCGACCAATCAAACGCGGGATCCCCACGTGGGGCACGTCAGTTCCGCGCGTGCTGATTGGCCAATAAAAATCTGACCTCATGTTCGCCATTTTGGCTCTAAATAGGTTGCTTTCCTCGGAGACAAACAACTTACATGAGCGACGATTGTTCGAAGTCTAGACACCAACTGAAATCTCAAGAGATAGATTGTACTAGCCTAAGAAATACATATTACAAGCGAAATTGTCTGTTGCGCTTCTATTCACCTATTTATCAGCATGACTGCTGCTGTTTAAACGAAAAGCAGTGGAAGTTGCATCAAATCTGGTTATACTTGCTTTGATGTTCCATAAATAATGTTTTAATGCACTGCGAATCCGTCACTGATGTAAAATAATATGTGAGCAGCTGATCGACTGATTTGAGCCAAAACATCCATCAAAAGTCCTGTTTTATCCTTTCCAGTGACGTCTAGCACAGTGACGCGAGAGAGCACCCTCATTGCCAATGTATAGTTATGCTACCGATTTTGAATGTAACTCAAATTAACAGCATAATCTGTGAAATCAGCCCTCATTACTTGATTCACGCTGTCTGCTCAGCAACACCCTCCATGCCCACGTCTGCGCCCGAAAAAACCCCAACCTATCATGTGTTGCTCAGACCCACGTGGGGCGCAGCTCCTTGTTCTGCGCCTGCTGACCAATCAGAGCACTTGCGTGTATCTGATTGGCTAAGAGCGACACGGGTTGTCAGTTCGAGACCTAAGTTGTCAATCAAGCCCACGAGGGGTAGAGCGCTGACAAATGCCTGTGCCTCTCAGCCTCCCGCCTGCGAATAGTGCTTGGAATGGCTGCTTAATTAGCTTCGAATGGCTTTTCCTTCCAGCTCAAACAATCTGTCACTACCATGTGGTAAAAAGAGCCCTGCGTAAAACAAAAGAGGGAAAAGCTAGTAGGGGCTAAATATCAGTTAGATTTTTTTTCTATGTATGCAAGTCGTATTACCACAAAACAAAACATTTATTCCACTCAAAGGCTGGTTCATCCTAGCCAATTGTTTCTGGCTTTATTTGTTTTCTCCAAATAGGGGTGTAATCTGATATGCTTAATAATCATCTGTGCTTATTTATTTATTTATTTGATCATTTAAAAAAATAATAGGCTATTAGACATTACCTTAACATGGAAGGTGGAATGTACTTTTAAACGGACTAATTGGACACGTTTAAGATGTTTGCACCCAGGGACTTCAGGGTCATTTCAATACAAAGATCTGGGAAAAAGCTAACCATTGTTCGATTAAACTGTAAACTTTTGTCCATCCCATTTGAGAGGGTTATTGGCTGGAACAAATGTCTGGAGTGGAGCCGAGGATGGAGCATGGAGTCATACTGAGAGCCATTATTGACACACCACTGCTCTAACATTTAAGAGAACTACATTTTGTCAGTGCACAAATGTAATATTGATTCTTTCTCCTGGAATTACAAAAATGTTCAAAATGCTATACTGGGTTAATGGCAGACACACTTCTATGAACAGTAAGCTCTCTGCAAGCTACTTGTGTACCGTTTGTGTGTGCAGAGATAATAGAGATTTCCTGCTTGCTCAGTGACCCCTCACAAAAACGTTCCGTATAATACAACAAAAGTGTGACTCAATGAGTTTTCAAGCCACAGACAAGGGCTACCATAGTCGTGTCAAGTCTATTTTGACGACCGTAGTAACAGCTGAAGATGACAGACTTCACTCCACCCCTCTTTTCAAATTACTGCCTGGGCTATAAAACCAAGTATTTGCCATATACCTGCAAGAGATTCATTTCAGCACAGATTTATGCGTTGCTATATAACCATTGCTAGAGGATGGAACTGATTTAGCTGTAATTATGGAGCGGAAACGCACAACAGTTTCATATCCAAGTGCCTGTTCATTCGCACCTTTGTTCTGACAAACACGCTTTGTATTTTCATGCTAATGCAGCTCCAAATGATAGCTGGCAGGATTATCCTCAGTATGTGAGAAATGTTTCTTTCTCAGTCTCTGCCTGCCTGTTTTTCATGCATGCAACCTTCCGCTACCTAGCTCTCTCTTCTTTGCTTGATTTCCCTGGTAGTGGAGCAGAAAACTAGGTCTGACTCTGCATGGCGTGCATGTATTGTGGGGCGCCTTTGTCTCTGGATTATTGACGTGCTTTCATACGTGGGATTGGGGCCTGAAAAGAGACATTCCTGCTTACAATAGCTTCAGTGTGCAGCGCTAGGCTGAATGGGCCATGGTGTATCAGAGCGACTTGTCAGACTGTAATCAATGCAAACAGGATGAAAAGCCTTATCAAAAGAGACAAACGCAGACATGAGCACTGTCGCCAAATGAAAACAAGAGTAAGAAAGATGGAGGCTTTGGCAGTTGGCCCTGGCCTGTTGTATGTGGAGTATGTGTGTGTGAGAACGAGGGAGAGAAATCGAGCCAATGAGCACTTGGAAATTCTCATTCTGTTCCAGTAAAAGTAATATCTTCAGTACAGGAGCTGCGGCGTAATCGTGCTGATTCACACGCCCCTCGCAGAAACAGCATATATTAGATGCTAATGTGCAGGTAATGGATGATATATATCCGTATAAAAGGACTCGGTGCTTGTGGATCTGTGAGCGTTAATCCAACACTTTGATTTGGGAGCTGCCAGAGATGATGGGTAAAGAAAAGCTTCTCTTTAGGGATTCTCCTCCCAATCCAATCTGCATCTGTACTGATGGATTCACTATAATCTCACCATAAAGAAGAAAGGGATTCCACACGGGAACCTGTGGCACATAAGCCTGTTGAGAACTCAGCTGTCTGTCACAGTGTGTGTGAGTGTGTATAAGCCTGTTTTGAGCACAGCCGAGAGTGTGTGTGTGTGTGTGTGTGCGTGTGTTTGGAGAGGGTGTTATATGTTCATAAGCCTGTTTGGGACACAGCTGCCTATCACAACTATTTGAAAAGCTCCAGGGGTAAGCCACAGGGGCATGAGAGCTCTCTTGAAAAAACTTGGCAGCCATATACTTTACTGAGTTTTTCCTCCATGTTGTCTAAGGAATCAATAGCTGTGTCCACTCTTAGGTTCAGAGACAGGTTAAGTACACATTTCAAGAGAATCTGGATTATTTTCCAAGGGTAAAAACATTTATGGGGCCTCTTTGTGTACAGTATGTTAGACTTTATTTAGTAAAAATAGAGTAATGGAGAACATTTTAGCATCCATAAGAGTCTGACATTTCATTGGTTATTGGAGAATGAATGCTGTCTCACACGAACTGTACATTAGCAACAGAGGCGGACAGTAACTAAGTACATTTACTTAAGTATTGTACTTAAGTACACTTTTCGAGTATCGGTACTTTACTTGAGTATTATTTTTTCTGGGAACTTATGACTTTAACTTCACCATTGCCAATGCAAAAATTTCCAAATGAAGCCACAGAAGCGACTGTTCACATCTCTAAGCAACATACAGGAGCTGCAAATGAATCTGTGTTTTTGAACAAATTGGTTGAGTGATTGATTCAATGACTCACTCGTAAAAAGAGTCACTTGTTTCATTGCTGAATGAATCAGTGCATTTGAACGAATTGGTTTAATGAACGAATCAGTGACTCACTCATGAAGACAGTTACTTTTCGCCATCTACTGGTGAAGTGTTGTAACCTGCAAAAAGAGTCACTCTAAAATCTCTACCACTAATGGACAGACTAGTGCATTAGTGTCTGTCTGGAACACACAAACACACACACAGAGTGATAGAAACAGTGATAAGAAATTACCATTGCTGCTGGAATATTACTTATAGTGCTGGAGAAATTGCAATGGAGTGACACCAAAAGAAGCAAGTGAGTCTGGAGTTCTTCAGGGGGGTGCAGTTATTTTTGGTGATTGAGACACAAGTGGATAGGGCTTTAAAAGCAGGTCAACAAAGTGGCCAGGTGCGTGTGAAAGCTTGGGGGGACGAAAAGTCAAGCACCTCCTCAACACTGCCAGTATCTGTACTGCCAACCGAGCTATCATCTGACAGAGAGAACAGTGGATGAGAGGAAATATAGCTGACTCTACACCTACACACACAAACACCCACAGATACACTTGTTCATGCTTACTAGCTGTGGAGAGGCTCTACTGAACTCTCTCTCGCATGGTACCTCTCATCAAAAAGTACCTTTTTACAACTGTTTAATGAGAAACTCATCATTTGTTCTAATAAAAGAAAGACAATTCCATCCATACTGTAACTGATGAGACTGTAAATGTGAGGGTTTTGTATGATGGAAAGACCTATCTGTATCTTTTGTTCTCATCCTCTTTCAGACGCTGTGTGAACAATTCAACAAATCACAAGCACTCAAAATTTCCCTGGGGGAGATATTGTTCTCTGAGGAAGATTTCATGTAACTATTCCCCTATCCAGTGACACACACACACACACATACACACCTGTCTAAATGCAGTATTGTAGGAGGCCCAGTGTAAAACAAAGGTTATCACCTCAGATCAGGTCTTATGGGAAACACACAACAAAGAGCAGTAGTCCAGCCCAGCCCAGCCCTGAGGGTCTCATTAGCATGACACAGCTGTGATCAGGTTAGCACACCCAATCTGTCCATGCTATCAGCCCCCAAGCACAACAAACTTAAAGTGAACCTGCATTAAAGATCCTAGTGTTTTTCTTTTTAAATATTGTAATTAAAAGTATTATTTTTAAGGTTAGAGATGTTATATTAAATTAGGATCAGTTGCAAGATATGGGATACCTCTTGTGATAAAAATTACAAACACAAAACACTTCCTGATAATAATAATAATAATAATTATTATTATTATTATTATTACACAAATTATTAAACATAACTTAATTTTCATGACAGTTAAGATCAAAACTCCTTCACAACAGTTATTTCACAATGGTTTTTATGAAACAACAAACTTTTATTTAGTTCTTCTACCCAGAGGTCTGTATATGAGTTTTAGTTTAAGACCAAAAACGAAACTATAGATTATTCTAAAATAATTTTAGCAGTAATTGTTATGATGAAAGGGCCTTTATCTATTTTTCCCAGCTGTCGTTCCTGTGAAGAGCTTCAGATTTTTGTCCTAGTCCTTTACTCAGAAATGTCTATCATTCAGCAGCTCTCTTCTTCATTATATCATTCTTATTGCTCATTATCTTGTGCCTTTATGTTG